CCAATCTGTAGCTCCAGGGGGAAGGGTGTTTCTGGCCTGGGGCGAGTCTTCCTATGAATCTGAATGAAACAGAAATGAGTGAAGAGAAAGGGTAGGTTGAGAGAAAGGCTTTTACTCCTTACAGTTGCTACCAGGACAGCTCTAACCAACTCCTCTGCCCTGGCTCATGCTCCCCTTCCCCTGCTCACCCCTTCTGGAGGGAACTCCATGGGTGGGTCCTTCATGACTGGCAGATACCAGACCAATTACATACCAGGAATGAAGAGGAGGAAGGAATGACCATTTTCTTTTCATCCTGGAGGGTGCAGGAGGCTATTGATATATAAATGGACTAAGGCCAGGTGTGAAATTATGGAAATTCTGCAATTTACCCCACACAGTCTTTAATATATTTCATAACTGGGTTCATTCTTATGTAGATTTTTTGTGCATCCTGATTTTTAAAAAATTTATATGCTATTATGAGAAATTTCCAATGCTGTAAAATTTATTAGAAAACCTAATTTTCAAGGGTTTTTAAATCTTTTTCATGTGGTCTGGACCAATTTACTTAACATTTTCCCTATGGTTGTATAGTTAGCTTGCCTTAGTTTTACTCTTCTAAGTTATGCCTTAATAAATATTTTGGTACATGAATCTTAATCTGCGTTTTCTAACTATTACACTATGACAAGTAACTAAATAAGAAATTAGTGAGTCAAAGCCTACAAACATTTCAAGTCTCAAGATGCCTAAATGGTTTCTAGAAAAGTTTCTTGAAATAGTGGAGGGACATGATCAGATACATGATTTATACAGGTAACTTGGGTTGCAGAATCTAGGGAAAAAATAATTAGAACTTGAACTATGCCAATGGAGATTGGGTGGGTGTGGATGTAGAGACAGGGATAGAGGTAGGATATTTCTAAAATAAAGTCAAAAAGAGTTGGTGACTGGATGTGGGAAGTGAGAAACAGTAAGGAACTAAAGACAACTAACTGCCTGGCTTTCCAATCTGCCGAACTGGGGGAATAATACCAGTGTTAATATAGAAAGAGATGTTCAGGTGTATTTGTAAATATGCAGGAGGAAGATAATTTGGTTTGAGACTTCTTTACTTGAATTACAGACCAGTTTTTAAGGCTTCATTTAGGTGGCATTTGGAAATATGGTTACTGGTGGAGAACATCTGATGTTTTTGCCTGCCTGGCATCTAGGGTGAGCTTAAGAATTTTTTTTCAGAGGAGGGTATTTGGGTGGCAATCTGGCTAGAAAACACCCATTACAAAAAAAAATTAGACTGTATGTGTATTTAGTTATGTAAATGGAGATTGGAGAACAGTAAAGAATCCAAGTCAGCCCTCAGAGGCCACTGCTGGCATCCATTCTTTTTTATTCTTGTAAAACCACTTCAATTTTCCTTGGGAGGATCACCTTTCTTGTGATTTTAGCACACCAGACATTACCCTATGGATCCAAGGATGGGTACATATTTCAAGTCAGCCAATCAGAGTCAACACAGCTGAAGTTTAGAAGTTTCCAGGAAAACTGCTGAAAAAAAGCTCTTTCCACGGGGATTGCTGAGACTATGATGTAGAACTGCAGCTGCTGGCAGCTATTTTGCTTGTCTCGCAATGGAATCGGCCGAAAGGAAAGTAGAACTGAGTTAATTCTGATGACCTGGTTCTGAAGGCATCACTTGAGCCACAGGCTCCAAGTTTACTGATGCTAGTTCCAATTTCAGTCATGCGTGGCAGTAGTATTCCTCTTTTTCTTGTAAGCCATTTTGAGTGGGTTTCTGTCACATACAACCAAAGAAGTCCTGACTAATACAGTACTGGAGATCAGAATATGGTTCAAGTTTTGAAAAATTTCAACTATTCAAGATATAATTAAAAGAAATCTTGTTGTGACTACACAAGTACTCTCTTTTATATTTAATGGCTGACAAATATATCTGGGACATCTAGAGTAGTGCCTGGCACTGTGTTAAGCTCTACACAAAACAAGATAAAGTATGGTTATAGAAATGTTTTTATAGACAGCTTATTAAAAAACATCACTATAGTTCATAAATTGGCCAAATTAGCTAGCTAGAATTAATAGCATAAACTTTGGCTTTTATGTTGTATATATTTTGCCATATATTTCTTTTGTGGACCAGGGTAGCTAAAATCGGTAGCCAGCAAATAATTTGTTATTTTCTTGAATTTTAGAAATATTTCAAATGTCCAGATGAAAAACATACTAGGAACTTGAGTTTTGGGGTGAATATTACCAAAGGGTATTGCAGCTTATATTTCCAATGCCTAACAGATGCTCACCTGTAGACACATAGATTTTGGTGTCATTTTCCTGCATCTGTATTTGCATTATTCTCTAAGGGTACAGACGGTGGAATCTCATCTAACAAGAAAAGCTTAATTAAACTTTCTGATGTGACATTAGTAATAATAGATTATATAAGGTTGTAGGGGTAGGAACTAACCAGGTTTGGTTTTTCACTAATAGTTACAAGTGTTTGATTTTTTAGCTACCTTTGTGCCTCAGCTTTTGATATTAGTTGTCAGTTGAGGGTGGTTTAATTAAGAATGTTTTTGCTTCACATTCCACCCTTGGGTCATTAAAAATTGCAATGGAAAATATGATAATGGAAAAATAAATTATTTAAATCTGTTGTTAATATGAGTGCTTAAGTGTGTATCATGGGATCCATAAGACATTGCACTGAAAAAATTTGAAACATAGAGAAAAGTATTTCCTGTTCTTTATAACTACATCTCATAAAAATTACATGTAACCAGCAGTTAATGTATCACAACAAAATATTTCACCTTTTCTAAGTTCACTGCTTAAATTTGAATAATCAACAACTTTTTATATTTTTTCACCATGGCTTTTCAAGGCACTAGTGAGTTAAACATATTCTTATTAAAAAAACAAATACAGGTAATAAAGATAAATAGTATGTGCCTTTGTCCTGGGAACCCTGCACAGGCCCTTCCGTAGCTTCACAGCCACTTCTCAGACCTGAGTTTTATTTCTATCAGGTGCCAGAAACCCAGTCTGCATTCCTCTTCTCTTTCAGCTCTTGTTATCCCAAGCCAAAGACAAGCTGTGGTGTGGGCACATTTCCCCAAATCTTGCTCAGCACATCCTTCTAACTCTTGACTGCCCCAGGAAATGAAGACAAGAGCCTTTTTCATTACAAGAGTTTTGTAGGTAATTCTCTGGGAATAGCAAAAATAATAAACTGGAGGACATCTGAAAGCTCAGAAATTTTATGAAGTTCTTACTGTCAGTTTTTCATACATTGTAGTTCCTCAATACCCTGTTAGGTGGTTACATGCTGTAAACTACAGTGGATTTGATTTCTACATTCAGCCTTCCTGGCAAAGTTCACCAAATCCTCTCACTCATTCAGAGTTTAGTTTTGGTGTTTATGCAAATTCCTTCCTATGAAATGGCCTTTCTTCCCTGCATATTATCTAGAAGTTATAACCAAATCTTAAAAGATGACCTCTTGTCTCAAGCTGGAAATTTGCATGTTTGAGGAAGTAGAGCCGTGGTAACATCCATTCCAAGGCAAGGGTATCAAAAAGGAGTCATCTTTGCAAGGTAACTTTTCTTGAAAGGAAGTTACTTTATTTTAGTTTTTGTCTGATTTCCAAGTATTGGTATTTCCTAGGGAAATCAGAACAGTGATTTTTTTCAGACATGGAGGATTCATATTAGTATTTTGTTAGTATTTCTTGTTATAAACCTTGTGGCTATCATCATGCACTTAAAACCATTTAAAATATGAATTTCAAATTATTTTTATGGGTATTGGTAGATCTTTGCCATATTCCTGTTATAAAGAGGGCACTTAGAAAACTGAGTAGGAATGGAACTGACACAGTTGGGAACTCACTGCTCCCAGTACTTTTGTTACAAGCACTTTCCCAGGATCACAATACCCAAGCCATCTCCTTTCACCATTAGTACAATGCAAGAAGTTGCAAGAGTTCTTTGGTGTTCAAAAAGTAATAAAAAAATTTGTTTAAGGTGCCATTGTTTAAAAGAAATTGGATCTGCCGTGTCATTTTTTAAATGTAAAGCCTACTTTCAGTTTTAAGGTCACCTACACAAATAAAAAAATGTACCCTTAGTAAGGCCGGTTTAGATGCTCAGTCTGGTGTAGTGCGCACGATGCAGCAGCAAGAAACACTCGCACATACACAGGGAGGGGAGACGAGGTTAGCATCTTCTTGGTTCTCTCACGGAAAAACGTAGCCCTGGTCGGGTACACGGGCCCCGCTGAGACCCGCAGACGCTTCCCGGGCGAGGACGCCCAGCAGCAGGGGGCGGGTCGCCGAGGGGCCGCCCCGGGCCTGGGCAGCTTCGGGAGGGCTCGGCTGCCCGCGCGCGGGCGGGACGCGGTCACAGCGGCGAGGGTAGCTCGTCCTGGCTGGAGGCAGCTGGGTTAGGCTTTGGGAGAGCAACGGCGCAGGAGCGGCTCCCAGGCGGCAGGGCCCGTGAGCGGCCGGCGCCCCGACAGTCCCCGGCTGGGAGGGCTAGGGCGGGACGAGCGCACGCGGCGGCGGCGAGGGGCGGGGCCGCGCGGGGCTGCGCGCCCGCCGCTTCTCTAGGCTCGGGGACGCGCGGCGCGCGCCTGCTGCACTGTGGACGAGGCCGCGGCGGGGCGCGAGCGCCGCCGGCGACCCGTTCTGGGGCCGCGGTGCGCGGCAGCTGCTGAAGACTGGGTGCGGGCGGGAGGCTCGGGGCCGCGGGCTGAGAGCGGGCGCGCCGAGGCCGGCGAAGGGCGCGCGGCACCCCGCTTGACAGCCGGCGGCTCCCGCTGCGCTCAGCATGTTCGGCGAGGCGATCGCTCGCCTCCCGCCCGTGGGCTGAGGCGGCGGCGGCCGGGAGAGGCGACATGCACCTGCCCGGCGCTGCGTAGAGGACACGGCAGGCGGGAAGCTACGGCCGCCGGCGGGAGGGCCCTCTTCTCCCGGCTGCCGCCGCGGGCCCGAGCCAGAGCGGCGGGGCGGGCGCCCCGACATGGCGGCCCGGAGCGCCCCGAACTGCCACCTGCGGCTCGAGTGGGTGTACGGCTACCGGGGCCACCAGTGCCGCAACAACCTCTACTACACGGCGGCCAAGGAGATCGTGTACTTCGTGGCGGGCGTCGGCGTGGTGTACAGCCCGCGGGAGCATCGGCAGAAGTTCTACCGGGGCCACAGCGACGACATCATCAGGTACGGGGGGCAGGAGCCGCCGCCGTCACCCGCGCGAGCCGCGCGCGGAGTTTGCGCCGGCCTGTCCTCCTGCCGGGAGCATCGCCCCAGAGAAACCCGCAGCTGCTTTGTGCAGAATCCACCCTCCCACCCCCGGCAGACGCTGACCGCATCTTGGCGTTCCAGCCTCTCCCTCGGGTCAGTGCGTGAAGACTAAGTTCGCGGATCCCCTCGCGCTCGGCTTTATGGCTTTGTACCCTTCTCCCTCCACCAAAAGCTGCAAAAAGGGTGACTGGTTTTGTTTGGTTTTGGTAGCAATTTACTCCTTTAAGTGTCATCAGAGATTTCTTATTAAACGAATTATTAAAGCGTCAGGGGGAAATCCTTTCCCTAATAGAAAAGTGATCAAAGTACCGCAAGCTGTAGGCTGGTCCCGGGGAGCGCGCCTAGGTGGCATCCTGGAGGGCACTCACCTTTTTGCCCTATCATTAGTTCAGCTTTCACTGCCTGCTCTTGCCAGCAGAGAAAAGAAAGCCCGGCAACCTGCAGGCAGTTCATTGGACATTAAAATTTGCACACCTTAAAGGCAGTTTGGGGGTAAGTTTTATCTGAAGAAGCTGCTAAAAATAATTCCACCGATTTCCAATTCTCTTGTTTCCTCTTCATTAAAGTAATATTAAATATGCTTACTTTCTTTCACTTTTTTTTTGTCATTTTAATTCTTTGGGCGGAATCTTGAGAGTTGGTGCCAGCATTTTTTTTTACATATTAGCGGTATGTTTGAAATGTAATTTTCAGTCTGTGTCACAATAAAACAATTGTGGCAAAGTTAAAAGCTGCAGAAATTATTCTAGGCCTTTGACTATTGCCTCAAGCACAGCATTTTTGCCTAGACAGTAGGAAAATATATTTAAAAACATTTCGAGAATGTGTATGCAGCTTCTAGGTTTTTAACAGAGACTGTGATTGGATTTGGTGACTCAGTTTTATTCCCTTGTTTATGTTCCACAGCATTTAAAGTGAGCATTTCAAATCCACTGTCTTTGGTTTGATGTGTTGTAGGCTAGAATCTCTGGTTCTTAAGCTCCGTAAATAACAAAGTTCTTCTGTTTTGCATTTCTGTCCATCGGATTTGTAAGAAAGAAAAGAAGGCGTAGGATGAACAGAAGGTAGTGCAAAATGGATGGAATAAAGATAAGCAGAGGCAGAACTGAGGTGGAATAGGGAATGAGGTGCTGTTTTAGTTCATTTGTTTGTTGTTCACCCCAGGAGCAGAATTTACCACAGTTCTTTGTCTTTGTCCCTAATCCTTTCCAGTTCTCTCCCTTTTCTATGTGTTAGGTCTCCCACAGTGCAGGGGATAGTAGCTTTACCAGAGGGGCTAGAAGCCCTCCTCCAGATGTGCAGTCTGTTAGGTTGAATTCAGCAGGTGGGGTAGGAGAGAAGGATTTTGAGGTCTTCTGGAGGTACACTTCCTTTCACTCCTTGGTGGTGGAGAGCAGCATGGTGGTAAGGCCTTCCGAAATTAGAAATGATTTATTTGATGGGGTAAATTTTGTTTTGTTTATTTTTACAGCTATATTTTATGTCACACTGCTTGCATTTTTACAATTGTGTTTCCGTAAACCGTAAGGCATGCTTTTGCCTTCTTTTGGTATATATCTTATGTAAAATACATATATCTTAATATTTCAAAGTGATAACTTAGTCTGATTTTTGCTGTAATTGGATACATGCTTATGATTTTATGCAAATGATTCATCCTTAACATAAGTAAAAGGGTTCCTGAAAACTTGTAGTGGGGTAGTAAAATCTGAATCACAAAGCATCTTGAAATTTGTGACACAAATTTAACAGTACTAAGAATGTAATTTAGAAATCTGTCGAAAAGCTCTGGAGATTTTATTTCAAACACTAATGACAGAGATCATTCTTGTTAGTGAAAAAGATCAGACACATGTTCAAACCTTCCCATTTTTTCAGTTCAGTGTTTGAACTATAAGTGTAGAAAGCTACTCCAGTAATTTTCCAATTATATCACAGCAGAAAATGTAGTATTCATAGCGATTGCATGGCGGAAAACAAGGTGGTTAAAATGTTATCCTTAGTAAATAAAAAGTCATGCTGTTTTTATCTGCCGTTTTGTTTACATATTTACTTGAAACTTAGATAAAACTGGTCAAATATGATTTGGTCTCTGGGGCTAAGACTATGCCGGAAGGAGCAGATCAGTGTCCTGAGGCTTTGAAAATGTAGATACTGTGTTAGTTTTTAAAGACTGAATCATGACCAGTCTCTCATTTTACTACATCTGCCACATGATTTGTCTTCTTACTGTTTGTGTTGCTTATAGTTGTCTCATTTCTTTTTGCCATGTATCTGTATATACTTCTCTAGCAATTTATCCTTTGTATTTATTTCAGTACTACTGATTTATATAGAAATCAGTTTCACTATCAGAAATAATATAAGAATTTCTGGGTCACTTTTTCTTAATGTTTTTTTCTGTGTCTCAAGAGGTATGATAAAATTCTCTAGTTGCTAAGTGTTTATTTTAGGTTTAAAACTAAGATAAAAGATACTAGGCTACTACCAGTTTTAGTATAAGGTGCCCATCTATAGCTGGGTCTGTATTTTGAAACTTTTGCCAGTTGTCTTCCCAAAGGATGCAATAACTTTAAAATTTTTTTCTGGTTACTGCCCATTAACATGTTCTTGACAAGTTTGTCCCTGAAGCAGTAGGTATTATGGACAGTTTTCAAATAATTTATCACCAGTCAAGACCATTGTTGGAATATAGTTAGTTTGGTGTACTTTGGGACTTGACTCAGTTTCTCTTATGCCAGTGAACCTCTACATTAAATTGCTTGAGCCCATTGTTTATGTACTTTGTAGGTATAGAATTTTTTTTTCTAAACTTGGTGAAAGTATCTCACAAGCTGGTGATGAGCTTAAAAGATATTATGCATCTGAAATACTTTGAGAAGTATACCATATCATATAGTTGTAGATTAGAATAATAATTATTCATTGCATCTATGTATAATACAACTTTTTTTTTCTTTAGAAGAATTCAAAGTTGTAATAGCACTTTTATTCAGTTGTGGTAGGAGGTGTTCTTAAGAAACAACTGATCAAACCTCACCATCATCTAATAAAAATGCTCTTAGCAGCTCTGTATTTATGGTATGAAAGCTTGATTTATTCCGTACAAGTCAAAATTGTGGTTGGAAAAGCAATTCAGAATGTATGATGAATCCATGGTGAATCAGTACTTTTTGTGTTTTGTATGGGTTCAGGGTAGCAACTTTTTAAGGTCTGGCAGGAATTACTGCTAACATACTATTGTCTGTTTAATGTTTCCAGATATGTGGTCAATAGTTTCCAAACCTGGCTGATCATCAGAGTCTTTTAAGGAGCTTTTTGCCATTTTCTAGCCTTTTCCTCAGATGCCCTAAGTCAGAATCCTCTGGGTTTAGGGCCTATCTGGTTTGTAAAAAGGGCCCCACATGATTCTGTTTGGGAAGCACACTTGGAATCTGTATCCTAAATCCTGTATACCTAGAATTCTTAACATAAACAGTTTGAGAAGTGGGTATAAGCTCTCATCTCAAACCTGATACCAGAATTTTCTTAAGCATGTGTAACACCTAAAAGTAGTACTTTAGAAAGTATTAGAATACAAACAGATTTAGTAAAATGCCCATGTGTTTAAGTAACTAGAATTAGGTGAGCTTAACTTTCACAAACTATGTAATGATTTTATTCTATAAGAGTTCATTTTATGTCTGGATATCAAAATACTGATGGTCATTTGTTCTTCAAATACTGCATAGTTTAAGGGATAAAATTAGGTGTTTTCAGCGGAAGGTAGGAATTATCCAAATTGTCATAAATATACATTAAGTGTATCTTTGTTGTTTACTTAGGGAAAAGTCAAATTTTTAGATTTGCATTATGATAACTATTATCCTTGTTGTATAATATCTCATCAAATATGCAAATAACTAATAAAATGTATTTGGACATAAATTAAGGAAAACATGGAATGATAAATAATTCTTAGAAGCTATTAAGAATTTAGCTGTTCTTTCAAGGCCTTTTTCACACATTAAAGAGATACAGGTTTGCCCCACTATCTGAAAGTAGAGTGTTCCCATGAAACCTTTTGGAAGTGGAAATAGCATAAAGTGAAGAAACAATTACCATTAATTCATATAAAAAATGTTTGAGCTTTCCACAACCCAAAAAATAACCTCTCCCAAGCTTTTTTGATACTTTACAACATATCTTGCTAATGGAACAAAATAGAGATAGAGCACAGATGCTCACACAGTTCAAAGCTATGGCAGCTTGATGCTGAGTGTGGTCCCTGGGGAAGGAGCTTAGTGGGGCCACTCTTGCTGCTGAAGGTGTGTGCTGCTTCTATAATGGGTCACTGCAAAACAAACACTGAATGCTATTTTCACCTCTTTTTGTAAAAGTGAAAATCCTTCAGATTTGTTTCAGGTAGTGAAAACAGTTACTAATGTAGGTCTTTTATAAAACTGAAGTGTTGTGACACAAACTTCCAAAAAATGGGGGATACCTATATTTACTGAGCATTGGCTTTGTGCAAGACTCCTGAACACCTTTGAGTATTCAGCACATTATAGACACTGTCAGTCAAGGAATGATTTAGGCTGCTATGTGTACAAGGGATAGCACTAGTGAATGTGATATGGTATGTACATGGGAACTTAACAGTTCACGCTAGTGTTTGCTAGTGACTATAATACCTAAGCTAGGTCTTTGAGGAAAAGGAACAAATAGTCGTCAGAAGAAATGAGCGAAGGTAAAGCATTTTGGGACGAGGTAACGTCAATATATATAGTGGTCTTGTGTTCAGAAAGTTTACCTGAAAGTGGTGTTTGTACTCACTATCTCGAGTTCTTTTTCTCCCATCCAGTCTTGGCTCTATTTCACCGAAACAGCTCTTGCCAAGATCACTAGTGACCTCCACATTTCAATATCTAGTGGTC